TGCACCGAGAAAATGGGAAATCCTAATGCGAGGTCGCAGTCCTGCCGAAGGACACCCCAGCGACTCGGAAGAACGGCCATTGTTGGCGCTCCGAGTGCGTCCTGCGTCCTGAATTCCTCCAGAAGGAGGGAAAAGAAGTATAAAGTGCACTAAGGAATCCCGGGTACAAGGCCGGCGGGTCGTTAGCGTTTAATAATTACAGGTTTGAGATTCTAGATAGAAGGCTTTCGTGGAACCTCGACGATTCACTTAATTAGGGGACGTTCGAAGAATTCTCGGGATTTCCGAGGTTCGAGACTCGAAGAATTTTCTGGGCATTTCCTTTGGACCTTGTCCAGGGAGAGCCGATGTGGCGAGGAAATATAAACGTCCGCCACGATGTAGGGGTTCTTCGAGGGTATTTTCCCGACCAAGGGGCACGGTCCATTGTTGGGGCTCGTATTCTCGATCGAGGTGCATCCCGGTGCATCCTATGAGCCTCTTTGTTCCCCGAAAGACCGCTGCTCGGTACACCGCCGTCTAACCTCACTTTCTGCAGCCAACCGGTCTCGTGTTGTACGACCTTGCGGCTCCGTGTTTCACGACAATGTCCCGGGCTCGAAGTGGTCGTCCTTTCAGCGGCGGGCCAACAAAGGACTCTTTCAAAACTGAAACAATCATCTAGGCCATTGACGAGGCTCCTAATGCTTCGGCCATGCCATCTGCCGAAAGTTAGGCCACGTTAACCTCGAGTCGCCAAGTTACGTAATTTGTGAAGCAAATCGTTTCATCGGGCAACAATGGCGTCTTTCTCATATTTAGGTGCCTTTTCTTCCGAAAGATCTCCGCAGGAGCTCGAGGACCCTCTCGAAAAAATCCCCGAGAATTCCCCAGGAGAATCCGAAAACCCCTGGTTTCGAGTTTCCCCTGGAGCCGACCGGTTGGCTCACTTTCCCTTAGAGCCGATCCCGAACTCGCCCGATGGGCCGATTAGCTCTCCATTGTCGTGGAAATGAAATTCGACGCGTGACGTGCATCTGGCGTCGCGACGCCGCTGGAAAAGCGACGAGAGGACCTCGCCTTCTCCTTAGTAGTTTCCTCCTCTCCTCGTTCGAGCCGATCATTATCGGTGTTTACTTTTCTACCGGATTGACTGCAAAGAATGGGCACGCATTCGGAACACCCGCGTTGATGGGGTTAACGGGTCGTCGTCCCGGGAAGTGGCGGAATCACGGCCAGCTGTCGGCGGGACAAAGGCATCCTGGAGAAAGGATTCTCGCGTTTCCAGGGCGTGATTTATCCCGGTGGCCCTTTTCAATCCCGCAAATTCCCTTTTGACGTCTGTATCTCCAACAGACGGCGCCGAAATCGGGACGCTCCTTTCTAGCGATGGGCAAATGCATGATTCAAGGCTGGAAATTTGCACTCTTGCAAGACCAAGACCAACACCATGACAATCTTGGTTTTGTCATCATGGTCATCACTATTGGACTCATTCTACCGCTCAGTAATGTCTACATACAAAACCATGACCAACACCGTGATAATCTTGGTTTTGCCATCATGGCGATCACTATTCTACCTCTCACTGATGAATGAATACAATACCAAGACCTACACCATGATAATCTTGGTCTTGCCACCATGGCCATCACTGTATCGCCCATCATTACCTTTCACTGTTGATTAAATACAATACCAAGACCTACACCATGATAATTTCCGTCTTGCAATTATGGTCATCACTATTTTGCTCTACTGATGAAGGCGGGTCAAAAAGAAGGCCCCGTTAAAAGTTCCCCTGAAAACGATCCCGCGGATCCCCTCGATTTCTTCGGTATCCCTCGATTTTGAACACAGCCTCGTTAGTTCGCGAACCCGCGACCGTAACGAGAAAACTTTCCAAGATGTCCAGCCGAGCTCGTGGTCACTTCTTCCCCGCCTCCTGTTTTCACGGAAGAAACGGCCGAAAGTGAAGCCAAAGCCGAACGACAAACCCCGCGCCAAAGCGACTGGAGTAGGAAAACATTTTCGAAAGAACCGACGCGTCTCTGTAAACGCGGCAAAGCTCGCGTTAAGTCGCCGCTGTGCGCGAGCAAACAGGTCGCTTGCTTACAAAGGAGCCCTTTATTCCGGGCCGAAAACACATCGGCCCGTTTCCGCTGACATTGCCTCCTCTCCGCGATTTTTCAGCCCGATATTGAGGTTGGAAAAAAAAACAATTTGGACCTGGTGTATATTAAATATTAACCGTGAACCATGAATTCGGTGCAACTTATTCACGCGGGAAACCTTGAATTTTGTGGGGATTTTTGTATTGCTTTTCCAAAAGTCCCCATCGGGCCGAAAAACCGCCAGACGCTTCGCCTCATTTTTCTTTATAGCCTCGACGAAGCTCCCTCGATAGTAATAAATGTTACAACAGCTCGTATCAATTTTTATCTTACGATCGATTAACTACTCCCCGTAAAAAGCAACTCTCTTCGCGGAGCGTAATAAATGTTGCCTACCCGGCGTGCTCGGTTGCTCTCGTTCTCTCCGAGTTCCGGCCAATGGACCAACCGAGGTGGAATTAACGATGGCGCACGTGGACCTCGCCAAGATCGAAGCCCTCGGGATCCGGCCATTCATGAAACCGTGACCCTACTTCTTCCCGTAAACCTGTTACCCCCTTCGTTAGGAAGAGGCATCGAGGAAAGAGGTGGGCAACGGTCGTTAGCGAGTCGAACTCGGGCGACGGGACGATCGGAGGTAACCGTGGAGCCCTACCCTTGTACAAATTGGACATGGAAATGGTTACTTGAAAAGTGTGGAATTTTTCCAAAAGGTGGATTTAATTATCGAGGGTTTCCTTTCGGTCGGTTCGAGGATCGATTCTGGTTCGACATTACGATACGATGATCGGGTGCAACCGTGTACCCCATCCCAACGTAAATTGAATAAAAAGTAGTAGCGACTTGAAAATGTAAGGTTTTTTTAAAATGGGATTAAATTATCGAGAGATTCATTTTAGTCGACTCGAGGATCGGGTCTCGTTAATGTCCGTTGGATCCGACGGCGACTCCGCTAATTGGCTTCTGCCCCGGCTCCAGGGGGAAGAAGAGGAAGGAGCCGGGGATCCTCGGAGCGTGCAGGACCAGCGAAACGGGTTCCCCTCGGTGCTTTTTCCCTCCCATTGATACGTGTCTTCGACTCGTTTCCGGTAGAAAGGCGCCGCGACGCACGGCACCGGCGTAGGAAGTGACGAAGCGGCAGCGCCGTGCCAATTCGCTTTCACCTTAGCACCGCCGGCTCCAGGAGAAAGAGGACGCTCGATTTGCGCCGGGCGGAAGGGGAAGGAGTTCCTCTCTTTGTACCGGGGAGTCATTTATTTCCCTTCTTCCGCCTCCGCTCCTTCTCTTTTCAATTTTCGGCCGCGCGCCGAACCTCGCCGCCCCGAAAAGGGCACGCTTCCAACTTCCGACTTCCGGCCTGGTCGCGTCGATCGCTAATACGGAGGCGCCGCCATTTTGTCCAAAATGGCGCGCCCCAAACGATCAACCAACACGCTAGCGTTAATTCACCGATGTCGATGCATGCCCCCGAATTAAATCTGCGATGCAACTCGTCCGGCCGTGCACCGCAAATCCCCGATTTTCCAGGAATTGTGGCGGATACTTTTCCAGGAATTATGCCACATACTTTTCCGGGAATTATGCCGGATACTTTTCCAGGAATTATTCCGCCGGGTCACCGATAGGCGCCGAGGCGCGCGCATAAATTAGACATTCTAAACGTCGACGCGGTGCAACTTCCGCTGCACATGCATCGGGATGGCTGCTAACGGATTCCGCAAAACGCGCGTTTAAAGTGGAGTCACTTTCGTGGAGTCTTCACGGACATCGCGCTTACAAATTAGACTTTGAAAGCCACACTAATGGCCGAGCTCGGCTGGGAACCGACGGCGCGCGTGCAGGTGCAGCGCATGCACTCGGCTGCATGTGCACCTCCTACGGCCCGAGTGTCAGCCGCGGCGTACGTGCCAATCTCACGCACCCTGGGGAGAATTACGACTTTCCCTTATTTATAGTTATCGCCTTTTAAGTCGCGCCATTTCAGCTCGACGCCCTCCGACTGGCCGCGGTTGCCATGCGATCGCGTGGTGTCACTTAACACGCAATAATTAATTAAAAACGGGGGCGTCGATAGCGAATCTGGTCCATTTCTTATTTCCTTTTTTCCTCAATGAAAGTACAGTGTCCTGAAAGTGGCGACTGAGGTCGCTAATGAAACTTTCTCACATGAATGTAAAGACCCTAAGGACGGTCCCGACACCCATGAAAAAAATGAAATTTCGCGAGTTTCAAGACCTTCATCAGGACCTCCATAATCACATTTACACATATTTTGACTTTTTGATACATATATTTATATATGACACTTTCATAACAACTTAACCCTTATAATCCCGACCGAAGTCGTTAGCACTTTGAAAACGACGATATATCGTTGTTCGGCACTAAAAGGGTTTAGTGTCTGTTTTAGCGCCGAGCGATTATCCCGATAACTGATAATGGTACGTTTTTTAACGGGGCGAGTGCGTTCCAGATGGCAAAGAGGTCTTCCCAGGGAGAAGGGTTTTCCGGAAGTGAAGGTGGGCGTAGGTCGGCGGCCTGGAAACGGGACGTTTCGATCGCGAAGGTGGGTGGCGTTCCTTAGCGGAAACGTGCGATCGCTCGCGGCTTTGTGCCGCGAAAGTGCGCCACTCGAAGTACTCCCTTCTCGCGCAGCGGCGCAGTTCTTACCCCCGGCGGATTGAAAATGGCGGGGCGCACTCCCTTTGACGGCGGGACGCGTAAAGGGAATTTTTTTTCGAGTACCTCTAGGGTACGGTGAGGCGCACCCGTAAAGGCGTCCATTCTCGCCCGGCCTCGGTGGCTCGGCGTCTTTCAGACACTCGGGACACACCTCGGTGTCTGAAAGGAAACTACGAATAGAATGTTTCGACGATAACGAGACGGTCCCTTTTTCTTTTGTTCCAGGGAGTTGGCACGATCTCCAAGCGGTCACCGGTGAGTACCCCTTTGAGCGATACTAGACGGTAAGGCGAACAGACGTGGGCAAACACGACGTTAGATAGGGAAAAGGAGACGAGAAGCGGAGACGCGCCACCCCAGGATACACCGAGGAGATCGGTTTCGGACGCGATTTACGGGCCGTTAGAGAGGAGCCAGGGGCTCGTTGCTTCAGGCTTTTCTCTAGGTTCACGCGAGCCCTACACGGTGCTCCCGGGTAGAATCTCGAAACTCCTCCGGGGAGGGAGTTAAGAGCGAGGGAAATCGCGAGGTGGCGACCGGACTACTCCCGGATAATGGCGGACCGCGGCGCTCCAGATTGCGGCCGGCGGGACAGGCTTGCCTCTAATTAGCCAATTACCACCCCACTCGAGACGCGATTGGCTCGGACAGCTTGTTCGAGGAATGCCGGCTCCGATGACTCTCCACTCTGGCGATACTTCGGGACACCTTTGGGGAACTGTTTGCGAGAACCCTACTCCGGACCACGCGTCGATGCTTCACCTCCCTGATGTATAATAATCATTCCAAAACTTCCACTGCGAACCTAACCTCTCCGGTGCGCGTCGGTCCTGCGGTTACGCTTCGGGACAAGGACCACCGTCTATGCCGGGAATACAAAATCGTTGAAATTCCAGGCTCCGAAAATAACAGCGCAGAAAAAGTGACACCTCGTTAACGTTGAACCGCTCGCGGCGTTAATCGCGAAAATAATTCCTCTCTCGCGTTATTCGAACCCGTCGTTCGATTCGCCGTTGCGTCGCCATGACACGCCCTCTCTGTGGCGCGGGCCGAAAAATCCGAAATTCATTCTCTGCCAGCGTTTTCTTCGAGGGGTCCTCAATTAACCATGGCCGGATCATCTCCGTCGGATAAGGGGGAAAAAAAAAAGACAATGAGCCACGCCACCCTTTATTTTTGGTAGCATAACACGCTTGGCAGGCGCTGTAACGCGCGGAGATTGGACGTCTCCCGGCCGAGGTGCGCATGCGCCAGCGCGCGCTAATTTCCCCCGTCGCGGGTTGCGTAACCGCGAGTCGACGTCGCGGCAAAAATAGACGACTTTGCCCGCCCGTAAAAAATTGTCAGCTGATTGGAGACCTGCCAGGTTGGTGAATGAACGGACGAGTCCTGGACTTGACTCCTCCTACTACGCGCTGGTAATTACCGCGCGCGCATGACTCGAAATCCGATATTCGACAATTACACCGACCCGTCTTAATAATCGCCCATTAATCAATAGTTAAGGCGGCGCGAAAGTGACACCTAAGAAGTCTCGTCTCTATGAATCTCTTCTTCGAACTATACCTACCGGATTTTTCAAAATCTTACCTCGTAACCGTGAAGGTTCATTTTCTAAAACCTTTCATGAACTAATTTTTTAATGGTCGAAAAAATTGAATTTTCACGAGTGTCGGGACCTTCCTTGGATCTTGCAAATTCTTGATACAAAATTTCAGAAATATCCGTAAACAAATGTGTTTTTTTTTTTTAACGATTCGGTACATCCACTTTGGCGAAAAGTTTCATAAAGGAGTTATCTTTGACGCTACTTTCATATCGCCTTAATCACTCTAGAGATTGCCGAGTCTTAAACGTGCCAACGTTACCCGGAAACGGGAGGATGTGTAGGTTATACACCTTCACCTGCGCACCTGCAGGGGGTGGTAGTGGGCGACAGGGGGTGGATCGCCCTCTCGATCAGGCGGATGAAAACCGGCGTTAAAGGAGACGGAAGGGCCGATTACCGGACTCTTATCCCGCGCCATTGTTGGCCCGATGAGCCAAGACTCGTACGGCCGGCTCTGTCCATAAATTCCCAGTCATTTGTTCCCTTTGCGGCCGCGCGAGTGGTACGTGGGCCCTTTGAAATGGTAATTCGCGGGGTAACGCGATGACAGGGTCCCATGCTCGACAGCGAGCCAATAAAGATGCTAACGGCGCGGGAAACGCGCGTCGTGCGTGCTCGACGGATTAACGCGAGAGTGTTGGTTAACCAGAGCTCGTAGTTGGTTAACCGGTACCGGTGTTCGAGCTAGACGATCGCGTGTCGGGACGCGCCTATTCCGACCCTCGAAATCTCCCTTTTTCCGACCAAAGCGTCCCGGGAGTCACGGAAGAAGAGCGCGCCCTGCCGCCATCTTGGATTGTGATATCCAAGAAGCGGCGCTCTCCCTTCTAAGAAATAAAGCATCACGGGTCTATGTGCCCCATGGATCTTGTTGGTTCTGACATATCTTCTAGTACATGGAAAAATAAGAGACCCGTATTTTTTTTTGTACATTTTAATTCCAGAATTTTAGGGATGCAAATGCACCCTTATACTCGGGCCCCGGAAATTCTTCGGGCTTTCTTGTAAATGGAATTAAGTGTGACGGATCGTTGGAATCGTTGGTTAAGTGTGTTGATATCCCAGGTCGTTCGGTCCAGAAGGATTGTATTTATTTTATTGCTGTTACTATTCATGAAAGACTCGATGGACTCGATTTTATTTACGGGGAAGTGACTCATGGGGTGTAACTTAGGGTAAAAATTGAAACTCACTACGTGTTCGGAGTCATTCGACCACCAGGGGTCGACTGGCCGTTATCGGGTCTTTTACGTCCGCGTTACATCGCGCGAATATGGCCGTCCGGCTCTGACGCGGAAAACGGACGGCTTTCCGCGAACGGCGGGGAAATCGATCGCACTTTTCCGCGACAGGCGATTGGTCTCCCCGACGCGATGATTTTTCCCTCTTTTTCAACTGCAAACGGACGTTAATCCGGTCCGAACGACCGTCTCTGTGGGGTATTCAGAGCGTGTCGAAAAACGCGTCGCACGCACGCGCGATTAATGCCGAGCACTTACGCCGGCCAGGGTGCGCGCGCATCTGCGCGGAATATCGCATCCCTGACCTCGCGAATGCGCATCTCGTTCGATCGATCCAGGTGAGATCGTTTTCGGGATAGTTTATGTGACCAGACGCCCCAGAAAGCCTAATTTCCCGGATCGAAAGAGGAGAAATTGACTTTACTCCGATTTTGCACTGATGCTCATCCGTCGCCATTATCGTTGTCATTAAAATAGATTAAAGCGAAATAATTAACATAAAAATCCTTCACGCCCTTCCACCAATTAGAACACACCCCGTAGCGGGACAATCGGCACTAATTACGCGGTAATTCGACGTCAGGGGTGGAATTACAGAGCGGCAAATTGCACCGTATCGCGTGGCGTTGCAGCTCGCGGCTCGATATGGACCGTGCAAAATTCCTGGCACAAAAGTGTTCGGTTTCAAACAGGGCGCCGGACTTGCGGGAGTTATTCGCATTACCGTAATTACAGGTGCCCGATGTATCGGGGTCTCGCGAACACCTGTTGTAAACGCGGCGGCGCGATGTTTCGGTCGTCATGTGCAGATTACGCGCCGGTGAGATAGGGCCGGAGGGAGCGAGCGAGAGAGGAACATCGGGCGGGCCCCGAGAGGGAGAGAGAGGGCGATAGGAAAAGGGGCAAAAGAGAGAAGCCCGCCGAATCGATCGCCGACTTCGGCCAATCCTCCAACCCGTCGGTCCGGATACGGCCGATAAAGCGAGTTGCAAATTGAAATCCCGAAAGCGCGATAACTACGTTTTCGGTCCCACGTAATGGGCATTAACTAACCTCTAAAGCTTGTCGAGCGACGAAGGTAGAAAGAGAGGCGAGAAGGGTGGAGGGCCGAGGGTTTCCGTTTCAATTTGTCCTCGTTGCAAAATCGATTCACCCTACAAAGGGCCGAGGGCGGCGATTATCGATTACGGCGGCGGCCATGACGACAATCGCGATACTGCCCTGAGAAAAAAAAAAGCTTCATTGAATCAAAGATATATTTTGTCAATTCAAAGAATAATTATTTAACTCAAATATATTCTCATAATTCCGCAGAAATGTAGCATCCCATTTATTGGAGTTCATTTGAGTCAAATAATTATTCCCTTAATTAAGAAAATATTTCTTTGGTTCAGTGATACTTCCGTTCTCAGCGTAGAACCACGCCGGAATTAAATAGAATTTAAAAAGTTAATTAGAAATAAAAAGAAATAGAATTTCAATGAATGTCTCTGCACAGTCGACATCGGCTATCGATCGGGTTATCGGAATTTAGGGATTCGTGCAAGATCACTCAGTCGCGAGCTGAATTTCTAATTAATTCTAATCATCTCCATTCATCTTTAATCTCGCGCCTTGACGCGAAATTTCACGATTCGGATAAAAGGGATCAAACGTCGGATTAATTTCGTGATTTCTTGTTAAACCGGTGCTGATTAGCTTTACCTCCTCGTGTAAGCTTCCCAGGGGTGGATTTCAGGTGTGGATTCTGATCCGTACACCTGCGTCTCTCGCTATTCTCGATGCAAAGAGACGCCGAGACGCGCGCGCAAAAGCGGGGGCGGCGGAAATTTAATTAAAATCCCCCCCCCCCCCACACTCCTCGAGGCAACGATTAGGTTTAATTTCTTTTGATAAATTAACTGCCTACCGCCGGCCTGCCACGCGCAAAAGAGCCGCCGCCGAGTGGAGAGCGACGACGCTTTTCTTCCCGGCGCTTTGACGAAATTTCTCGAAAATTGCAGAAATTGCGGGATTTTTCCTCAATTGCCCCGATTAATCGCGCCCTCCCCGGGCTGCTGGCGAGTTTCGATCCCTGTAATTGTATGGAGGATGCATCGTGCACCGAGATTGGCAATTTAGTGCTGAAATGGCCGCGCTGTAATGTGGTCGCCCAGGTTGCACCAGGGCCGAATTACGTCGCGGTTAGATTGTAATTTGGAGGCGTAATTTGTAATCGTTAGGAGGGTCTGGATGAGTCTTAGAGATCGCTTCTACCCTGTATGTACCTGAAGAAAAATCTTTCACTCGATTTGGATGCACCGATGGCGCTCGCCGTGAACGCGGCGGGTGCCTAGCTTTGTGACTCGGCTACCGGGACTATGGAAATAGCGCGACGTTGAAAGGTTTTTCAACCCTACGGAGCA